AATTTTAGGTGGGGGAGGATGCTCTGGTGACCCAAGGTGGGTGTGGTTGGGCGTCTTTCAAAATGTCTGGAAAGTGGTCCAGGGGTTCGTGGTCCAGGGGTTCGTCCCCCCACCCCAAAAAATATGACAATTTAGGGGTTTCAGAGGCTTATTTAATCAATATTATAGATAGATACAGTAGTCTACTATGTAGAAATACACAACATTTTTTTCTCCCTGATGGTTTTTGTTCTTTTTGGGGGGTGGGGGTGCAAACTGGGACCCCCGTAGCGCCGCCAGAGTCCAAAACAGAGATTACCTTCGGTTTGTACACTGAATATTGAAAAGCATATAATGTGGCATATACTAAGAAATTTGAGAGTGAAACATTTAACTGAAATAAATATTTGTCTTTATTGTTTGTCATTTCATTCATTTTATTTGCTTATTTGACCTGACATGTATATAAAAGTATATAGTAAACAGTCAGGGTCAAATTTTTAACTACTTTTGTCAGCTGCCCTATACTATAGCATGTAACATGCATTGAACATAGTGATACGGTAGATCAAGAAAAAACATAGAAATGAAAATGTTTATCGTATACTATGACTATACCATGTTGAAACAAGGGCTTTTATCAATGACCAAAGTTAAGCAATATTGGGCATGGGTCCTAGGAGCCTTGTACTAGTATTTCATTGGCATAGGCTAGGGAGGGTGCTCAGGGTTGAAGATATCTACCTACCATGAATAGTTCTGCTAAGTTGGTTATAAAACTAAAAAAGACCATCAGGTTTTCATTGCAATAAGGATTTATTTCCGCATTCTGAATTTATTTTGAGAATTAAGGTATCTTCTCCGGTAAGGACACAAAGCTGTAGGCTCAGTTTACACAACTGAATCATGTGCCCTTTAAAGAACCTACAACTTCCTTAGGGAAGAGTAGGGATCTAGTCATGTTCTAGTCCATCCAGCCCCTGTTCTTGCATCAAAAGAACCCCACGGGCAATAAGTCTTCATACTTTTGTGTGTTATTATTGGTGCATCACTAACTGGGGAGAACCAACCAATCAATCGCTTTTAAATTAATACTTATGAATTGATTAAGGAGATTGATTTGATTATTAATTTTTCATGATTAATTAGTCACATTATATTTATGTGTCAATATTATACTTCTCTCAACAAAACTTAGTGTTCATATAAGATTTTTATTATTTTGCTAGTATGTTTTTAATTGTTTTTAATTAAAACAGCTTTAATATTGACCTGTGTTCAAAGCAGTATCAACAAGGTCATTAAATTGGCAAATGTTTAAAGGACAAAAAATTGATTGTTTAGTGTGTTTGAATTTAGTATTTATTTTACCCATTTCAACAATTGTTATGAAGGTTACACTAATATACTCAAGTGCAGTCCACAATTTTTAAATTGTTCTTTTCAATAAGGATAAACAAATAAAGTTAGTATAGTAGTACTGTAGTAGATATTTGTGTTAGAGAAGCAAATGTTTATTGTATGAGGAATAAATAATACAGTACAAACTGCACAAAGATACAGTTAATAAAGTATTCTATGAAGAAATGTTTTGCGGTTGTAAGCTGGCCCATGGGAGGACTGATCAGATCACTGATGGTGGCAGGAGTCTGTAAAGTGGCCCCCCTTGGGCATAAAATATGTACCACGTGTCTGGCCTAATCAGCTTAGCTACGTTTGACAGCACAATGCTTGTGATCTTGTACCAGCTCAGTGTGGACATGGACTGCACTTGTCGTTTGCATCGATTGCTCTTTGCCTTTTGTGTGGTGTTGTTTCATGCTCTTCCATGAAGGACCATGATGGATATGAAAAGGGAGATACATAGGACTTTACTAGGGTGGAACACAAATGGAAGAAATAGAGCTAGAATAAGTACAAATCGATCAGGTAAGAGATAAACAGGTATACAATTATTAGACCTTTGCAAGTCGTTCATTGGTTTTATTAAGAGGATTAATAGTTGAGCAGTGAGATGTAGGTAGGGTACCTATTGTTTTGGAGTGATGAAAACAAAGCATGGAGCCGACCAGGTGGCCTGGGCCTCTACTGAACTGTGATCGACCAGCCTTTGTCAGGATACAACAACCATAAATGAAAGAACAAATTGAATTGTTTTTTACTTGCCATATCTGGCTAAAGTCCTTAGAAAAAATTTATTTCATAATATATCATTAAATTTTATCAGAAAACATAGATTATATATCAATTAATATATTAATAAAAATTATTTATATGTATAATTGTTAAGTATTTTGTGCTTGATTATTTGTATACTACAGTATTGTCTGTAGTCAAATATGTCTACATATTGCATATTAATTGTAATTTTTTAATTTACTGTAAATAATTTTTAGTATGTTTACTGTTTTCATGTGTTTAATGTTTATTGAACATTCGGATGAAACTTGAATAGAATACAGACAACTTACTAGCATACATTACATTTTTTTCTACAAATAATATGTTAGAAAAAAAAGTGCTTAAAATTTACTACCATATGTTTCTTAACATTATATTTTTTCATCGAAATAACATTTTATTTCTAAATTTGTAAAGGTAGCAAATTTGTTTTTTTATTAAAGTCAATTATTACTGTATGTTACATACACCTGCGAAGGGTGTGTGGAATATATATTACCCAATAAAATTATATGGTTTTTCTTAGAATTAATATTTAACAACTTAATATTTATTACTAGATTAATACAATTATTCTGATCAATGCAATATGCAAGTGCCAGCACAGAAGTATCAAAGCAGTAACATGTACATGTTATTATATTACTAACTCATTACTTTTGTTTTATATATTTTGACAAAATTCCTTCATTTATTTAATTAAAATTTAATTCATTTATTTATCCATACTCTGTTACCTCTCTTCATCCAATTATCTATCTATCTAAAATTAATTAATCCATTCCTTTATATCTGAAATTTATCCTTTTATCTCTCAATTTATCTATTTCATTCATTCATTAATCAATCAGCCACACATCTATGTACCTGCTTTATCTATCTATCCGGCTACCTAACCATCCATGGAACCATTACTTAATCCACCTATATAACAATTCATCCATCCGTCCATCCATTTTACCAACCAACCAACAACACTTCCATCAATGCTTCTATCTATTCATTCTGTTTGTCTATTAATATATCTATCTTCCACCATTTATTCATCGATTCACTATCAATTTCTGATCATTTTATCCATCCATATACGTCCATCCATTCTTCTATTTTTAATCCATTCAGAAATTAATTCTTGTAGCTTCTTCTATATTCCATCCAGCAATGTGCGTATTTGTGGCCATCTTGTATCACTTAATAAATTGAAAATCATGCAATAAAATCCAAATTATCCTGTTTAACAAATTTTTGAAGTCATTGTCCGGTGAAAGTCTTCAGATCATGTTTTCTTAACTGATGATCCGAAACTGTTTGAACAAATTTTTCCATTAATATGTTGACATTCCAATTGAACTTATAATTGAGTAAAGCTGTTCAAATGTTGGGGCCTGGGAAAAACCTTTGATGCAGAATACTTCGGTATTTTCTAGGATCCACCTTGGAATGCATAAAAGCGATGGAATTTTTCAGAAAACCATCAAATAAAATGATACATTGTGTCACAACATATGGTCTAAATATAGTGAAAAAAATACCCTGGTATTTTAACTCTGACTACAGTACAGTATCACAAAAAGGGGACAAATATATAATTAAATAATTAAATAAAAAATGAAAATAATTGATTTAATGTACTCGCTGGTACAGTATTTGCAATTTATGGTCTGAGAAACATACATACATTACACTACACCACTTACTGTATATAGTAATCTTTCATGAAGATAAACATAATTTATCCAAATTAAATATACTCTGTACTATATGTAAAGTAGGCCTACTATATAAGATTTAGGCCTATTGGAAAAATAAATTGTCTGAATTTAAGAAGACCAAACTTTTCTACCATATTTTTTGCTGTCTATAAGAAGACAAACTACCAAGAAGTGGAGCTAGAAGGACTGTTCACAAGTGAAAATAATATCTGCAAGAAGAGAAAACTGTCTAATTAGCATTGCTATTGGCAGACAATCAAACTATCAACCAGTGGATCCCTATCTATTATCAGTGAACCAAACTATTTTCCCATGGACCTATGTACCATAATACCTAATTAGATTTTGGATAAGTGCACAAACGGATAGTAACGTATCTACTATACGTTACTATCAATTAACCAATCACAGTGCAACAGTAATTGGTTACTTTAACATATTTAGGTTAAGTTTTTCCTCCAGCATTCGTCTATTTACCGAGTTATTATTTCCATTCTTCCAAGAATAGTGGCCTATATTCTTCTGAACCAAATCTTTGTCTCTTGAATTTTTTCCTCTTATCAGATGATTCCATTTGTCGCTTAGCCTATAATGCGCTGCTGTGTCCTTTACACCCGTCACTCAATATTATTCAATAAATGTTCATTTGTAAAAACAAAATGACCTACAGTACAAATGAATTACTCGCGCATCATTACTCGTGTAAATATTTTAGCTGGGGGGAAATTCACAAGTACTGATGCCTTTGAGTTCAACTCTTGTGATTAAACGCTTTATCGGGCAGTGGTGTGTGCTTAGGGAGAGAAGCCATTGCCTTAGGGAGTAAGCATTCATCTGCAATTAACAGCTAAATAACTTGATACTTTTTTTAAGAAGTGTTTAAAATTTTGTAAATGTTCTTATTGTGTTAAATTATGGGTATTAATTACATTATTATAAAGGATAATTTGGTGGGCTTTGAACTTCCAAGTCAAGTCAGTGGTACGCTAATAGAGAGCTTATTATAGGGCTTCATGAATATATGTCATTGACCCAAGGTTAATAAAAATACATCAGAAATTCTTCATTTATACACTGCAATAAAAGGTAAGAAATTCAATATACAATTACATATAAAAGGTTAAGAAACACAATTCAATTACAATTTAAAATAGAAAAAGTTATGTTAAACGGCAAAAACAATTCAATATATATACAATTCAAATAAATACTTTAGGTAATACAATAAAATTTACAATTATTAATTAGATTGATATGATATGATATGATCAAGATGTTCTCTCCATGGGTAGCAAAAATTATCTTTCAACATACTTGTTGTAAATTACAATAGAATGTGGAACAAACGATTTGTTATAGCGTTTAGTACGACTAGGTAAAGAACGGATATGGGATGGGAGAAAATTGTACTCGTTGTAGAGTGGATGATCATTTTGAGAAAGTATGCGTCTTACCATGGAGAGAACATCTGCATTATACTTAAAATTGAGCTTAGAAGAATCTACTCCTATTGCACGCCCCGCCCTTTTAGTGATCTTCGCCAACAATGCCTTATCTTTTTCATATAAGCTAGCTTCCCATATAGTCCGACAGAAAGAAATCACACTGAGTATCATTGATTGGTAGAATATTTCTAGAATTTCTTTATCAACATTAAATTTCCTAAGTTGCCGTAACATATGAAGTCGTTGCTGGCCTTTTTTGTACAGTCTAAGTGTATTACTGGACCATTCATATTTTTCATCAATCACAGTACCTAAATATTTGTACTCGGGAACAACTTTAATCTGTTCACCATCAATATTCAGTGGTTCGTGATCTGACCTATTTTTCTTCCTAAAATCAATGATAAGTTCACATGTTTTCTTTAGATTGATTTTAAGGAAACGGTTCTTACACCAATTTGAAAAATAGGTCACATCATTTAAATAATTATTAAGGGATTGGGGGCCATTGTTTAAACTGACAAAGACGGTGTCATCAGCGTATTTGAGATATTTATTTTCACTTACCGTTTTTCACTAAATAAGTTTATTGAATATCGTATTTATTATTGCAATATTGTGTAGTACAGTTCAATTGATGACATTATTTTTCACTGTTGAATCTTGTTGTTTTAACCAATTGATATCAATAATAATTATAAAAATAATAGTGCTTAATTTGATAAAATGGCTTTAGTAATAGTATACCTTGCTTATGTAGGTATTGTTGAGTATACAGTACTTGTTATTTTTATCAATCCATGAAACTTATTTAATATTTATTCAAAATATAGACAGACTTTATCTCTATCTGGATTGTTTGATTGGTTGGTTGAAAGAGTGATAACATAAATGAAAGTAAAAAATGTATAGATTTAAATATTATGATCAATTGACTAATTAATTAATTGATTTGTTTATTGATTAAATAATGATTGATTGATGATTGATTGAGAGTTTAACAATTATTTTTATTGATTGATCAGTTAATTGATTGATTGATTGATTGATTGGTTAATTGATTAATTATAATGACTGGTTGACTGATTGCTTAAATATTCAAATATGTAATTAACTGATTGATTGATTAAAGGATTGAATATGTTATTAACTGATTGATTGATTGAAGGATTAAATATGTAATTAACTGATTGATTGATTGATTGATTGATTGATCTCTGTTAATATTCTACCAATGCAATTTTCTTCTCATGCAAGACACAAATTCAATCCCTGAAGAGGATGAGAGGTGTTCTAGTTTTGGGGATGATACAGGAAGTGTTGAGGAATTTCAACGCTCAGGTAACAACAGTACAGTGTTGTGGTCAATGTCATTTACTATATGTCTAAATATTTTGCTGATTGATATTTCCCATTGTACAGTATTTTAAAGATATTAATTTTCTGTTTTAAAAACAGGCTGCATTATTCTATTACATGGAATTATACTTCCTTCCTATCTTGATTGTACAGTAGTTTACCTTTCATTTCTTGTTTGTTGAATAGCTCTACTGTAAATGGATATATTGTTGTGGTCTGTTGTACATGTTGAATAAACCATTTTGTTTATAGTGTTATCGATAGCATGTTTCTGCATGTTGTTAATTGAACACATGTTCATGTCCACACACTATTTTCATGGAAGTGATATAGTATGTTTTGTTATTGCACCACCATAGTCTACAGTATATTGATTATATTATGATCATAATGCTATCACAGCCTACATTAATATGCTACACAATTTTGCAGTGTTGTTCTTTCACCTTTTATGATGTACAGAATCTTAATAATATACCAGTTACTATTAAAATAACTAAGTTGAACACTGCTATAAATAACATTTGCTATAAAAATCCCGAGTGATGTGTTAGTAAAGTTAATTAGTTGTTCTATATATTTAGTTGTTAATATGTATATTTGTCTATAGAATTTTTACTATGAACATTATCCACTCCCATACACACACAAATTGTGTGCATGTTGATGTTGAGTCAAAACCTCTTTTAACTGTTGTCCTGACAATATATAACTGAATAAGATATTAATGATAACTAGCTCTATAGAGAATATACTATGGGTGTCAGGTTATGAGTTGCCTATTGCCAAGGATATCATCTATCTTCCCATGATTAGAAATCGTCTTATTTCCAGCACTTTAATAAGGCAGTCAGAGAACCGAAACCAATTAGGAATACTTCGCTGACAACCTATCATGGGGTATCATCATCTTTTTGCATTTCCCAAATGTGCTGTGAAAATACTAATTTTTGTTTGAACAAGAGGTAATCATTAGAATTCTATGATGCTTTGTGCATGGAGGAATCTAAACTAATTCCTCCATGCTTTGTGTAAGTTTGTACCTAAAGGTAGTAAATGTGTTAAACTAATTTGGTTCTAGTTTTGAGAAAGTTAAATCAGGTGTATCGCATGACTTAAATACTAATTATAGCTATCTTTGAGAACGCCATTTTTGCACAAGAATTTTCTTTTCTAATGGGCACTGTTGATAATAATTAAAATAATTAAATATAAAAATAATTAATTTAATTATATTGATGAAAGAGACAGTGAATGCACAGACATACATGATGGACAGACAGGAATACACAGATGAACACATAATTAAAACTTACAAATCAAGTTTAGGTAGCCTTAGCTTTTGTTTTGAAAATAGACACAATCAACCATACTGGAGGGACACCATGGTGACCAGAGGGCTTGATTGACTTACTGTAATCCATTGATTGACAGACGACCCCAGGTTAGGGATGACCCTAGACACAGAGGCTGATGGGAAGATTCTTATCTAGTCATAATTCCAGGGTGGGATTATTCATTACACCATGATTACACATATACCCTCAGGTTTGGGTGCCCACCAAAACGGAGCGTATGACTCGCATACAGAAACAGAACGTTGAATTTTTATCACATGTGTTCGATGTTCCATAGCGAGAGGTATACTTTCTTGATGTCGAGTACTGTACAAACACATTATGAATTATTATTTTATCTTGTTCATAGAGTTGCGAAGAAGTGGACGAAGTAAATCCATGCAAAGTAATGAAAGGAAACGATTAACAGGTGAAAGTAAAAAGAAGAAGGAGAAAATGTCGCCGATGGAGAAGTTGGGGCCCCCTAAGACGCTGATGGAAGTTGATTTTGAACTTGTTCATTCTGGTGCTTTCTGTCTCACAAGTGAGTATCCTATTATTTTTTTTAATGACAATATTTATTTTCTTTGTTGTTGTTGTTGTGGTAAAGTAGTAAGTTACCAGGCTAGTGACTGCAGTAGTCATGGGTTCTATCCAATCTGAATCACCGGTGTTATTTTTACAAGTTCATACATTTAGGCACGCTGGTATAGTACATATAAATTTAAAATGACTAATGAGGTCAGTGGCACTTTAAGGTAGTTCAAATTTTTCATAATATTAATAATAATAATAATATGTATTTATATAGCACATTTTCAGATACATTTGTTCAATGTGCTTTACATAAAAAGATGATAAAATATAATATAAAAATAGGTAACTTTATACAAAGAAATTATAAGAATATTATATATATACATTTGCTACATGAATTATTGTACAATATTATTTGATTAGTTTTGATTTTCATGAAGATGTCGTATATGAAAATAGATAGTGTTGGTTTGATCAGCTATGAACTTGTAAAATATACAAATATTGACCTATTTAATGTATAAGTTAAGATATAAATGGGCCTATAGATTAACTTTATTTTTATTTGTTTCAGGAATTAGATTGGTTTTCTAGTTTCTGTAATACAGTTCTTGTAATAAAAATAGGCATATAAAAAAATTTATTGTCTTTATAAACAAAAGTGATTTCCTTTTATTTATTCTCCATTGCTTGGTTAGTAACAGTAGAGAGAGGTGGCTATTTTCATTATTATGACTTTGGTATATTTTGTTTTGCATTGTATGGACAGTATATTACAGTATATTTATTTGTATAATTATAGATTTTAAATGATTCGATGGTGATGGGTTTAATCATCATTATTTAAATGTTCTTGGAACAAGTATTCTTTTTTCATCTTCAGTGGTAAATTGTCTTATTGAGTGTCTGTCAACAATTTACATTTGACATAGTTTCTACCCCATTGGCATACCTGTATGACATCATCTGAACGACTACTCTAAGATAAACAACATGAAGAAATTAAAGGAGCAGTATATAGTGTCGTATTGAAATGGGGAGGGAGCTGATAGGGGAAAACACAATATGGAGTGGGGACCTCAATGATTAATTGAGGGGGGACGCTACTGTAGCTTGCAAAATAAGGACGAGGAGATTTTTATCTACTTGAACGTGAACATTTTGCTTCAAACATTTCATTTGCGGGGGTGGTGGATGGGTGACTGTGGTGGTGGGTTCGAGTTTTCTGTAGTGGATGTGAGCCCCATGCACCCCTGGATACGCCACTGACAGTATAAGGCAAAAACTTTGCATGAATGATAAGTCTGTTCAGTAAAGTGAAAAAAGTAATATAATATTTTATATTATGTAAAGCAATATTAGACAATGTTTTTAATGAGCCTCCTGACTGTCAGAACTGTTCAGATCTCATTGCTTTAAAACTCTTAATATGTTTCACCAAATTTTACAAACTCCCAATAACTGAAACAAAAACAGGAAAGATAGAAAATGTAGACCACCATCCTGTCGCCAGCTATCAGAATGGCAGATAAAAACAGAAAGTAGGCAAACAACGGATGGTAAAGGTGTTGAAATGGAATGTAAATAGTGGCACTTTCTTGTCAAGCGACTCTTTTATCCAAGGTTGATGTGTTGCGTGTTTCAGTTGTTATGGAAACAAGTGAAGTACAAATCATGTATTGTTGATTGACAGGAACACTTCAGTATCGTAGATTTTTATTTCAATAATATATATTGTACATACATATGCAGTAGCGTATCTAGAAGATTTGAAGTGGAGGTACTAATGGGGGGGTCCAAAGATGAAGTAGGGGGCTCAATGATCAGTTGAGGGGCACTAACTTGCAAAATAAGATGATTTTATGTGATTTTTAACTACTTGACCATGTTTTTTTTGGGGGGGGGCGACTGGGGAGGGGTGAGTAATTTTTGAAGGGGCGTGTGCACCCCACTAACCCCCTCCCCCAGATATGCCACTGTACATATGAATCAGCTACCATCGGATCTTGATCCATTATGGTGCATCTGGACATCAGCATGCATTAGAGTCTTCTTCTGTAGCCAAGTCCTTATTAGTTGGTTTTCGTCAATGAAATGACAAAACTGTGGTGACAAAACGTATAATAATAATGTTAATTCACTCAGAAATAGATTTTTTTTCAAATTATGCTCTTCATTATTCATTTCAGGCTCAAGTCTGTGATTACACCACTAGTATCTTTGATGGAATCGGATCTTGATCCATTATGGTGCATCTGGACATCAGCATGCATTAGAGTCTTCTTCTGTAGCCAAGTCCTTATTAGTTGGTTTTCGTCAATGAAATGACAAAACTGTGGTGACAAAACGTATAATAATAATGTTAATTCACTCAGAAATAGATTTTTTTTCAAATTATGCTCTTCATTATTCATTTCAGGCTCAAGTCTGTGATTACACCACTAGTATCTTTGATGGATATCAGCACATAAATATTTGTTTATGATTTATTTTTTTCCTTACTATTTATTCATTCATACCTTATTTTATTTCTTTAGGCACGAGGGCCAAGCATATGCCAATAAGTGAACTTAATCACTGTCCTACGTGGCATATCCATTAAACAACAGGGGACTTAATGGACCAGTACACCGCTGGGATAGCCCTCTACTCTTCTTGAAGGATGTACTGGGTTCTTTAAAGTGCACATGAGCCAAATGCGTACACTGGGCCTACGGTTTAAAGTCCGTATCCGAGAACTTATTCCACCATTGGCGAGTGAGCTGTTCAAACCAGCGCCAATATTAGAGCTGAGGGTTACGTGCCCCTGACTTAACCGCTCGGCCAATCAAATTTAACATTTATATTCCATTGAAATATCCATGATTTGATTTTATTTATCTCATTTTTTTTCCTTTTATTGTTTTCCCTATCTCATTTACCATAGTCATTCATTTTGGTAAACTTTGATTTGTTTTCTTCATTATTGGATGAAATTTACACCATACATTGCAAATTAGTCAAAACACATTTCATTTCACGAACTTGTTTCATTTTCAAGCCTTCACTTCATCTTCACTTTTTACTTTGAATAAAGCCATTCTATTACCCACTAAATTAGTTAATAAATATTTTGCCCTTTTTCTTTTGTACTGTCTGTGATTTAGTTACAGTTCTTAATGTAGTAATATATTCCAGGTGACAACATGTACAACCACTTAATGCTTCAAAGAATTATTCAAAAAAATCTCATTAATTCATTATTCTTTCCTGTTAAGGGAATTGTTATAAATTTGTAGAACCATTAATTGATATTTCTTTTCCTCTAGGGATTGGTAGATTCCGGGTAGACAGACCTATAAACCATGCAATGATTTTTTCCGTTTTAACATAGATGGCTCAAGTGTTCATTGCTGAATTATTAGTATAGCACCATCGCTGGTTTCATAAATAAAGTTATTGTGATTAAGATAAATTAAATGTAATTAATTACATCTTTTATTGTCAGTGCTCTGAGGTTTTTTTTGCATTAGGTGCTATATACACCTATATTTATTATAACTACATGAAAATAAAAATATGCTGTGTTGAAATAATGTGATCATCATAGCCAATTATAGGAACGGAAAATCAGGATGTTTACTTTTCACCAGGTGTTTGTCGGATTAATTGATACAGGCTCTCCATGTATCATGTGTGCTATTAAAGCAGCGGACATAACCTATTCAAAACTCTGTCGTTAAAAATGTCAGTAATTAGTAGAGCATGCTTTTTTTTTACATCGACCCTTTCTGATGAATACCACAAGCATAAATTCAAAAAAAATTTCAGGAAAAATCTCTTTATTTTTGTATAATTTTTGCCTTTGTTTTTGAAACTTTAGTTTCAGTTTAATGTGTAATTTTGGTTCTCTTTTACTTTCATATTTTGTTTCTGATAGAATGACATTTCGAACTTTCTACTGTCACAATTTGACTAGGAAATAATAACAAAATTATCATCTCTATTACCTGAGGAACATTTTTCAACCATAAAATTATAATCAACATTTACCTGCTTAGAAACTGGAAATTATAAAACCTAGGAACCGATACTAGTTATAAAATTAGAAAAATTGATCATATCAAAATTTAAAGTCACAAGAATCTAAACGCACAACAAATTGAAAGTTCACATGCCCTTGTAGTGGTCCCATCTGCATTTCTTCCTTGTCACGCCAAACCACATTCTCCCTTGCCACATATCACAAGCCCGCAAAACACCCCCTTCTAATTGATCATACAGTTTTGACGTAGAATCAAATTGAAAGATAATGGGGTTATCTTGTACTTAGACAGATCGCAGTTATAGAGAGGGCGTGCAACTGGCTGTGCGGTGGTCAGTAGATTTGTGATAATTGCCGGGAAATAATCTCAGGTGATGCTGTATACAATCACTTGTCACAATGAATAATTGTCACGTTGTTTGTGACTAATGACTGGGCGTTTGAGGTCATTCTTTTGTCAATTTACATGACATTTTAACTTTACGTCAATAAAAAGGATTAATTTAACCCCATTTTATTTAAAGGAAGTTAATATATGAATCATTCAGTACTATATAAATTTAGTACTGTATATGTATTTTTACAGGGTTTTTTATACTTTTTTATCATAAAAAATAAATATTGATTTCATCTAAGATCATGCATGGTTTAGTTTTTTCTATGTGTTCAGGGGCAGATTGAGGGGGAGGGTTGCTCATCCCCCACCCCCACTTTTTGGAAAATGAAAAAAGAAGAAAAAATAGATCACCCAAAACGCCTCAGAGGTTATTTTCGGGTGTCTATAAAACAAAAAATTTGTGGGCGACTGCCCCCGGACCCCATAGAGTGGTGTTATCTCAATTTACCCCCGCTTTAGTCCACCCTTTCAGACGTCTCTGGAATCACCCCTGGAGTTATTATAAATGTTATTCCATTATTTGATAATTAATGTAATTAATGATTAATAATAAGTCTAATTAAATTGCTAAGTACTCTGGAATCTAGGACTGGTCGTTGATAATTTTATTGGCCAGCCCTATGTAATTTCATTTTATTATTCAAATTATTTCATTCTTCGGTTGCATTTTCGTTGATAGGTTTCCAAGAAAAATAGCAAGTGATATCAAATGTACAGAGGGTAAACAAAAAGAGAACATTTTAATCGCATAATACTAATTCGTTTTTAGCTCATTGTTTCCTCAATATTTTGTTTTGAAGCGCATACAGGAACTGCAATATATAGAATCATCATCATCTTCATCATCATCTCTGTCATCATAATCATCTTCATGATGAACAGGCGTACATTACATTCTATTTCAGAGATAAATTCCAACCCATAGTTAAATTAACACTGATGTTTTCTTAGTGGCAGCTCTTTTCATAATCACTTATAAGTATATTAGTGCCTTATTATGCAAAAAGAAAAACCACTAATCAGAAGCATACTATATGAATTTGAAGTTGTCAAGCAGGGGTCATATGTTCAAAGTAGAATAATTACCACATTGTAGCAATCTCACAGGTATAGAAAAGCACACAAGAATCCTAGTTCATCGTGTATCAGTACCCCAACTGCTAACCCTAGTATCCCAGAGGGGTGGGGCTCCATGGCTGGTACAAACAATTTTTTCAACATTAGCAAAAACTTTTTTCTTTAATATCAAAAACATAATTATGCTGCTTGTTGATGTCATTTTTTTTTTTTTTTTTTTTTTTTTCCTGTTTTTTTTTTTTTCTTCCTGTTTTAGGTGCAAGAGACGTACATGGGGCAGCTGTTATAGAGGTGTCAGCAAACCATTCTATATGGACTGATCAGATCTGTAGTATACAAGATACCACCCAGCTCCTCTCATACCTCTTCAGTATACCAAGGTCAGTGACATTTGTGATGTGTGCTGTCATACCATGTTGCACAATATGAAACAATAATGCAATTGTGTGATTATCATTGTTGTCAAAGTGTTTTGGGTATAGATGTCAAAGAATAAATTCCTTTAAAAAAGCACTTTGGTACTATATGCATTAACAACAGCTTGCATTCTGGAGAAACCTCAGGTATAACATATCAATCTCAAAGCAAACACCCACTCACTTTGCTATGGTACACCTGGACACACCTATAGACAGGTAAGATAACCTGGACAGATAACGTAACCTGGCCAGTCGTAGCCTTGGGGCACTTGTAGAATCAGATATCATATGAGACCAGACTGTCTAATGAGCAATGTACACGTTTTAGAAATTTGAATCCAATGGGGGAAAAAACAAAACATGTGCAATATATTTATTAATTATTGCATGATTTCTTCTGTGACTAAATTTAGATTTTATTTATTATTTTGGCTGTGTATTTTCAAGGCTTATCTGATTAGATTTTCAAGATAAGTTTCAGAATAAACTCAATTTTTGTACTAATATTGGAAATCATAGGAAAACATAATAAGCACCAGATGATGTAAAGGACCCACTTAAGATGATGCCAGCCTACACCCAGGTAGTGCCAAAAATTTGCAAGTGGGAAGTGTCAAGCAAGTCTGACTGTGGATCCAAACCAATGACCTGTGTAGGGCCTCAGGTCCAGGTTTTACACTAAATCTGTAGTGGGGCCAAGAGAGATTTTATAGTTTAAAATAATGAAATTTGTGCTTTATAGACCGCAATTGCATTTTCTTTGATTGGCCTGGCAAATTAAAATTTTGGTCGGACAACCTTCAATGGTCCATTCTTGTACACAAGGCAAATTTCACCCCTTCCTGACCTCCTATCGTAGTACTACTTCACCAAATAGCAACATGCATTTATGCTCCTTTTGAAAATGTGTCTAGGTTTGAAGTAGACAATTTTTCTACATGTTCGAAGAAGCCATTTATTTCAACAAAAATTGAGGTTTAAAAGAGTGAATCTACTGCGCATCTTACTTGAGAATTTCCGCATACCATGTCTCCTGTACGAGTATACTCAAGAGAATATGCACGATAATAATTAATCTAATTACTAATCCACATTATAAAAAATATTCTCTCTTTCAGTAAGTTTTATATTCTTTATTATGTTATTGATAATTACATTTCTGATTTATTTGTTCCTCTAAAAGGGATTTCTTAATCTATTTCCAATGTAACATGTTAAATGTCTTTGATGCGAAGCGAAGTTATGTTTGGTCAATTTGATGTATGTGAATAAATAATGACATGATGACCTTTGTGAAAGTTGACTGAACTCCAATAAGTATTTGATTTCCTTCATGGACTATGTCGTGGTTAGTTACAGGAGTTATAAGACATGCGGTATTGTTTTGAAGTTGCATGCTCTGTTCTCTTCAAAGTCCTTAGAGAGATCTTGATGGTATTTGAGGATTATGGGATGCATAATGGATTCATTGAGCTTTGTGGTGATGCTGTAAATGAGATTTTAAAAGTTCAAAATCTTTGGTTTTTAAAAATAACAGTGAATTTAATTGATCATGTATGTAGATGTTGTGAAAGTAGCACAAGAATGTGCTAATGGTTTTGTAATGATTTTCAAGTGCTTTTGATAAATAATAGCTTGACTGAGAAAAATCTTTAAGAATAGTGGATAAATATTCCAGAGGTTTAAAGAGCTTAACCCTCTGAACTCGGTGTCAGATAATGTCACATAATAACCAGCAGACAAGCATGTTTAAGTTCATCAGTCCTAAGCTTGGCTCATAATCAAGACCACTGCCACAAGTTAAAGTGAACTCTACTGATGCAAAAAGTGTCTGCTTAAAATACTGCTATCTGTTTATTTTCCTTTTCACATCTCAGTAGATTTTACAAGACAATTGTCTGGCTTCGAAATCCCATTCATAAATGTTGCATTATTTCTAATTTATTCATTTGTCTCTTTGGAATTGATTTACTGGATTGCTGTTGGAGGGATGGAGCATATTTTGAAGGCATGTAATTGAAAGGTCAAAGGTTTCATTTGTCAAAGACATGCTTCAAGTGAATTTAAGCATGTTTGATTGTCTCCGGCCAACTATAGGCCTACATACACCAATGTCCTGATGCTGCAACAAGCCATTGTAGGTATAAAATTAGAGCCCCACCCCAAGGGAGCTGACTGTTTGTGACATAGATGTTTAATCCAATCTTCTGGGTAATAATTGCGAGAAAAATTTTGATAGTATGGACCTCTAGGGCCTGGAAATTGCACTCTAATACCTTAAAAATCATACCGGTACAGGGCCTAGGTTCATATTAATAATACAATTATTTTCTTAATACAATTTAGGGGGGTGCAATCGCACCGTCTGCACACCCTCTGCATCTGCCCCATTAATGCTAGCAACTTTTCTACTGAATATTTAAGCCTGTTCATTTCAATCCTTGTTTGAGGTGACTGATGCTAATATTTGTTGTTTTAATAAATATGTAATTTCTTTCTGAATCACCCTCTCTCAAAATACTGTACCTCAATAAGATTCGAACCCATGCTAACCATCCCAATAGGAGTAGTGCATGATGGGTAGGCCAGGTGGTGTTCTATTATTATTACATGATTCATGGAGGATACAGACACTAATCCCTAAGTCAACACTTGATTATTGGTACAAAAAAAAAAATATAATCCTAATATCCTTTCATGCGATTGCCCTTCAGTGGATGGATTTTGTGAATAATATGAAGCTTGACCACCTGTTAAATGTATATAGAATTTGTTCCATTATAAATGATAATTATATAATAGTAAGGTCCACATATCTGGTTTCAGTCTGTGCATTTTGGATTTGATGTATTTGCACCTCATAACAGGTGGAGGGGAACGGTCATGTCGGTTCTCGTCAGTGGTCCTTGCCATTTTTAGGCTATTCCTTGGTGTTAGATTCCTTCTCAATTCGTACATTAGGCCTATTATTTTGTAATTGTGTTTAAATTAGCAAATAAAAGCCACAGTATTTTGCCATTTATAAATTACAACTTTATTATTAATATTATTATAAACATTTCTTCCATCCACTTGGACCTATTTGGATTGTATTTTAACCGATACAGGTGACTAATATAATTGAAAATGATAATTATGAGGATAATTTGGTAATAACACTCTACTTCCATGACTTAAAACAGAGTGAGCATCTTGCCAAAAATTCCATAGTGCCATACCATCACGTAACATTGCATCTATAAATTCCGTAAGCTGTAGCACATCCCGAAAGATATCCGTCAGCCGGATGGAGCACCTTTACTACTTTTTCTCTATCCTTCCTTCCACTCTTCCATCCCACACCTAAAATCTGCAATTAATCTTGTGGTTAACCAAAAGTCTTTCCTACATAGTTCCTATATTTTTTTTTCTACTTCTGTTCTCATCCAAAAGCATATGAGCACGTCAGATATTAGGTGAAAGTTCATGATTATTACACAGTTAACCTTGAAACCTTGTTTTTATTGTATCATTATCACATATAAAGTTATATTTCAATGTCAATTTAAGTTTTTTTTTTTTCTGTAATATAAAATTATTTGAAAATTAAACTTAATTTTATAACATATTGTTATAGAATTTTCAATGAAGTTTTCAACTTTGTACAGTTAAAACACTATTAACATTGTATAGTGTATTACAATACATTATATTTGAAAGCTTTTCTCACGAGAGGAAAGTTATTTAAATATCTGGCAATAGAGGGCAGCAAACAATTAGCTATCTTTACCAGCATTTCTTATGACTTTAAAATTTAAACTAATTTTATATAATAATACAATATAATTTGTATTTTTTATGTTTTTTTTCACTGTAAATTTAGATTATCATTACTAATATAATTAAAATGTTGGAAGAGGAGTGTTGAAATGTAAAAAATTTATGACCAAAAATACAAATCCTTTGAATAAATCAGATCTAAGAAATAAATTTCAGTAGTAAGATTTTCAGTAGTACTTTTTAAATGAATAAAAATTTCTTACGTAATTATAAATTTCTCAATTCAGTTTTGATAGGCCTACCTCTTGATCAGAGCATATTTTGAGGACTGGGGGTAAAATTGATAAGAAAAAGAAATTGGAAATTTATTATTAACAAATTCATTAAACATGCTTTCATTGGTTTAACAATTATCTATCCACCTATCATAAAGGCATTTATTTATTAATAATAATTAATAAATTGCATAGGAAAATTGATTCTTAACTGCATTAGTTTTGTAACATTTGACTATAAGATTCTTATAAGATTCTTTTTTTTTATTGGATTATTTATATGTTATACAGATCTCTCTTCCAATAGGATTCTTTACTTGTTATAGAATACTTTATTTCTCGTACGAATTTCAAATATCAGAACAATTTTAAATTAGGAAATTACAATTATGTAATTGTTGTCATGGAAACTGTGTTGGGTGTAGTCGACAAATACAAAGGAAATTATGAACGTACATGTTGATTAAAACGAATGATGTAGCAACACACCGTAGCACAACCAAGGTATTTTAAGACTAGACATTGTAGGCACAAATAGTACTGTAGTGGTGTTAGGCATTCTTATACAGACACATCCCAACCTTGTAGAAAGGTTTGCTTTCAAATCTTTTGTTGTTATTTATTTTTAAAAACCAGTTAAAAGACAATTAATTTGTAACAATAAGAATACTGCTGCGTTGACAATCCTTGTCGCAATCTGTCTGCTATAATTAACCAGGATGTGAGAAAATTGTAATTAATTAACTAATGAAGGAAACATCTGATTGCAATCTTGTGCTGTAATGATTACAAATGCTTTTACTCTGTTCGGTTTTCTTTCACAGAGAGGATGTGACCAAGAAGGGGCTGACCGTGGTAGTCGATACTCGTAAACCCACCGTCAATACCTTGGATTTTTTAGCAGAGGCCATCAACATGTTCCAGGTAAGCTCATTTGTGAATAGATATTAATTTTTTTAGTTTTTATTATCATAATTATTAATCAGAAATGGGCGGTTTGGCTTTCGATATACAATGAAAGTCATTATATTTGGTGATAAATCGATTAAATGTGAAAGATTTATATTGTAATGGAAATTAGAGTTTATTTAATTGTCAAAAATGTTTGAATTTTCCGTCTTGTGTCAAGCAAAGCTTAACTGAATTTGTTGATAATATTCCTGAGGAAAAAGATGAATAGTGTAAATATGGTTAAAAGTTTGTTCTCACTGTTTGACAGTTTAACTGTCAACTTTACTAATGAGTGAATGGTTCCTCAAATGAGTGAAAAGTTTCTCAATGAGTGAATGGTTCCTCAAATAATTGAAAAGTTCTTCAGTGAGTGAACAGATCCTCTAATGAGTGAAATGTTTCTCTAGTAAGAGTAAAAATTAAAGGTACAAATTCATACCTTTTTATTTATTTCTTAAATTTTAGGCAAAACTACAAGTAAGTATAAATGAATTCAGGAATTAAACTGTCTGCATAATCATGTGAATAACATTATAATGCTTGATTGATGTTTATTTAAATAACTGTAGTTCTAAAAATCTATTTTATCAGTTGTGATTAACTCTATTTTCATTCCTTTCATAATGTTTGGTTTTTCCATACATTAGTAAATCTCCTTTATAGTATATTCAGTTAATTTGCAGCTTTTAGTATTTTTTTTCCGATGAATTTAATTTAAATGATGGAAGTAATCTTACTTTTATAATTTTATATTTTGTACTTTTTTATTTATTTATTTTCAGTAGATATTTGTATCATGTTTGGTTTTCCCATACATTATTAAAGTATATTTTGTAGTAGTATATTCATTTATGCCTATAGTTTGTATATTTTTATTATGTTGTGTGGCTCGATTGTTGAATGCTGTTGTACAGAATTTACATTTAATTATTTACTAGAGTGGCACTGTGGATTGGTGCTTACCTATCATTTCCAAGGTCTTTAGTTCAACTTTTCAAAAAAGTCATTATTTTTCACACAAAAATTGCTGGATGGTTCTTA